CTTCATTATTTCCCTACTGAAAAATGCCGCAATAGCTACCCAGTACCCATTAGTATTTGTACTCCCAAGAAGAGGTCCTCTGGCATGAATCAGAGGTCCTCTGACATAACAGTACTAAGTTAAGTAAGGCTCACTGAATTAATACACCCATGATTTTCCAAAGAGGGAAATGTTACATTAGTAACTCAGCCAACTCAGTAAAATTGAAATAAGGCAATAAAGCTGAACACAAACATTGTTCAATTTTTGTCACTGTTTTGGAATTAATGTTTCTAATCTACAGGTCAGATAAATAATATAGTACATATTCTCAAAAACAATGTGAAGAATAAGTAAAAGTATTTCATGGCTATTTGACTTAGCCCTGCTGATAAGCAAAGTAGGTTATTACCTAATTGATGTGACCTAATATTAAATGCCCCATATCTGTCAATCATCTAAAAAGTTATCTTATTTCTTTGAATTTTAGCAATTAGAAATTCATTTGAGCTACCAAAATTCCCTTTTCAAGATACAAATATGCCTGGGAAAGCTAGCAGCCATTACAGTATGAAGCATACCCATTTCAAGCAAATTGCTTTCCTCTTAAGCTGTAGTCTGAAGGACTCCTGACTGGACTTCAGATTCTTTGTGGACCCAGGGGTCTGTCAGAGCAATTTGGAAGTGCATCATGATCATGGCTTCAGCCTAAACTGCACGCAGCCCTGATTCTGGCTTGCCTGGCCCCTCCTGGAAAGACACTTATCCTTAGGGAGATGCTTACAAGCATGGCTCATGGATATTCATGTCTATATCCTGGCATGAGCTGACTACAATGAAAGGGTGAGAAAAAACAAGATGAGGTTTTCCCTCTAGGCTCTCTGTGGACTTAAGGGGCACAGGAGTACTGGGGTGAACAACCTCCACAGAGATGAGGCAGTGCCAGAGGCTTGCACCCGTGGGAGAGACATAAGTATCCTCTGTCCTTTGCATCTTCCATTTGGGCACAGGCATTGGCAGGCCAAGCTTCAGCATGCCTGCAGTATTGGGCTCTCCCAGAATTATTTGGGCATTTCCACACCACGAGAGAGCATCATGCAATGGCAAAAACTGATTTGTAACAGTTGTTAATATGAAAGTGTGGCCTGTGAAACATGAGGTTTTTGAAGAGAAAAAACAGATGCAAAAACTCGATGCTCTTTTAAGTCAAAATCACGTCTGAAGAGGCAAATCCTAAAATCTTTGGTGTTTGGGGCTTTATTTACATCATTTTTACAATGGGAATTTTACCTGCTGCCACCTTCTGCTTTATAACTTCAAAGCTAGATATTACAATCTTGAATACATTTATGTTTTCTAGATTTAAATAAGAACTTGCAACTCTAGATTTTAATGAGAGCATATTTTTTTTTTACCTTAAAACACACTCTTTTTTAAAAAAATAAGTTTTTCCCCTTTTTTATTGGTTATAATTTCAGTGCTAGTGTTATATAGCAAGTGGATTTGAGGGAGAAACTAAAAAAAAAAAATACAGAGAATGACTCAATTTCTTTAAGATAAAAAACCTACTTTAAAGAAAGTTATGGCCCCTTTACCATACTTTTCAAAGAATCAAACATCCATGATTATCTCTGTGATGATAACGTTTGCCTAAAACAGAGATCTCATTACATAGAAAATGGAAGTTAAGTGATATTGAAAAAGATTTTCTCTTAAAATTTCCAATGGAAACGTTGGTTACAGATCACTACAATGTCAGGTTGGTAAGAACTTTACTCTCATCTAAAGAAATTGCTTCATTTTGCAAATGAGAAAAACAAGGCCCAGAAATTTATAACTTGCAGGCATCTCCAAGTCACAGAATAGCAGAGTGGATCCAGGTCTTGTGCCTGCTCATTGCAGTTCTCAAGGTACTTTTCACTGCCACACACACACACACACACACACACACACACACACACACACTGGCTAGTGGATCACACAGTACTAGTACATTGCTCACATTCTGGAAACACTGATGCCAACAAATAACTTTCTTTGGCATTTTGCAGGCAGTGGAGCTTTTAGGTCATCTAAAGACCCAGTTCAATTCCCTAAGTCAAATATTCAACAGGGCAGTTGTACATTTAGGTTACTCTGAGGACACAATAACACTGGATTAGGGTTTTTCTGCTTTTTAATAGGTTTTGAGGAAAAAGGTAAAGCACCGTGTGATAGTGAAGGGGGAAGAATGTCCATTAACCTGGAATAACAACTTCTATCATAACATTTCTCCAGGCACATCATCCTAATTTAAGGCCAGAATTAGCTCATGCCTGGACCACAGCTGTGAGACAATCAGGACTCTGGCCTCCAGCACCTCTCCCCTACCCCGCTCCCACACTGCACCACACTGACTGATTTACCTCTTTGAATCTTTGTTTGCATCATATCATTCCGTATTCAAGACCCAAGATGGTGTGTGTTTAACTGTTTAGTGATTCATGTCCAAATATTTGAATGTAACTTTTTTTGGCTCTTTATAATCCATCTGTCTCTCGTAAATTCTACTTTCTGGCATGCTGACTGACTGTCTCTCAGTAAAACAATCTTATTCCCATCACCAGCCCTTGTATATCATTGGCGTCCTTTTTCTACTATTTCAAATCCTACCCAAGCTTCAAGGCACCCACTCGTGTCCTCCACATAGCTGTTCCCCATTCCCCAACCCTTCACTGTTGGTAGAGGTAGCTTCTCCCTTCCCGGTTTAATGAATTTTTCTCTTATTGTGTCATATCTGTTAGTCTTGTATCCCCAATTCAACGTAACATCTTTTAGAGCAGAAACCATGCCTTAGAAATTAAATCTTGGAGTTTCTAGAGCCCTCATCCCACTCCCATTTCCATATACTCTAGCATCTTGCTGACTGTAGCCGATTCTCAGTAAATGCTGTGGGTGTTGGACAGTCCATATGAGTTGTAAGGAGAAAGTTCCACCTTCATGGTATAGCATCAGCACTGGTTCTGGGCATAACTCTTGGGGCCACTGCTCTTCTTGCAGGCTCCACATCACTCCACCACTAACCTTTTCCTGCCTTCTTCCTTCTCTGCAGGATTTGTTAAATCAGTTCCTTCTCTCTAACCATGGTCTGTCCACTAAAGCCAAGGTCACAAACCTTTTCAGCCACCTCTCTTACTCCCAGGACACAGCCAAATGAAAGTTTCCATTTCTTTTCCCTCCGTAGAGAAATCACAGCCCTTCCTAGGCTGTAGACTCCTCAGCTGGAAGACTCTTCTCTCCCACATGAATGCCCCAATCCCAGGAGTCCCTGCCCCTCATCACAGCTAAGCCTGCAAAATACTAGTTTTTCTTCCCTCCACCTCCCCTTAAAATGACCGTGATGTGGATGGGATGCCCTGAAGTGGTAAGGGTTTTCTGCTACCTTATCACATGGGAGGGCGAAGATAGCCAGGCTCCCAGCTGCTTAAACACACACACACACACACACACACACACACACACACACACACACCTCTGCACCTGCAGTTCCAGGTCCCTATCTGCCAGCACAACTCCCAAGGGGGTGGAGACAGCCTCCAGGGGTTTCTGGGAATCCTGCAACTCCTCCCACCAGCCTCTCCCCTCTCTTCCCTCACACCACTGGACCACACCCAGTGGTCCTTAACCTAACAACCCCAATTAAACCATCAAAATGAAGAAAACTTTTCCCTCCTGCAATTTCTCCTTAAAATAAAGAATATACAGTCACATGCTGCCTTAGGAGGATCGGCCAATGACGGACCACCTATAGGATTGTTGGTCCCCAAAGACTATCATGAAGCTGAAAAATTCCTATCAGCCAATGACTTTGTAGTCATCATGATGTCATAGAGCAACACATTACTCATGGGTGCATGGTGATGGTGATGCTGACGTAAGCATTCCTAGTCTGCTGCCAGTCTATAAAAGTATAGCATATACAGTTATGTGCAGTACATATCACTTGATGATGATAAGAAGTGACTGTTACTAGTTTATGTATTACCTATGCTGCATTTTTTATTGTTATTTCAGACTGCATCTTTCTATTCTACTCCTTAAAAACAAGTGTCCTGTAAAACAGTATGCTTTGTTACACTAGCAACGGTATCATACATCTGGTGTTTACCAAGTGCCCTGATTGCATGGCTTTCTCTTGTGCTTGATTTAATTTCATGTTGCTTTGTACAGTTACACGTCGTTTAGGCTTGGGACCTAGGAGGACGAGGCTATACCTTCTTGCCCGGGTGTGCATTAGGCTATACCTTCTAAGTTAGTGTGAGCACACTCTATGATGGCCACTCAGAGGTGAAATACCCTAACAGCGCCTTAGAACACGCATCCCCGTCTTGCATTTCCTTTTCCTTCGCTTCCCTATATCAGCAACAGGAGATTCTGGTCTCAGAAGTTGTCTTTTCTCCTACAGCTCCCCCAGCTGCCCCAGCAAGAAACAGGTGTAAGAATTCAACCCCAAACCTAGGCCAGCTCCAGTCTCCCCAGGGGTAATCTCTCTCTCACCTCTGGCACACACACACACCAAGCAAAGACCCACCCACCTTGCTCTGCACTGCCAACCCACATCTTAAGCCAAGGAATTCTCTTTCCTACTACTCCCAGGAATCTTTCTCTTCGGTTTCCATGCTCCTGCTTTTCCTCCCACCAGTTCTCACTCATGACCACGGGGCCCCCATGGGGCCCCCCTAGGTTTTGAAGGCAGCCTGCCTGGTCCTGCGCTCTGTGCTCACAGCTGCAGCACCAGCCGCTGGGCCGCGGGTCCCTCCCACCCTCTCGCAGCCCTGCGCGCCCAGGGGCAGCCCCAGCAGGTGCCCCATCGCCAGCCCCTTCAAAAGTCGCACTCTCCCAGCGGTCCAAGTTCCCTGACCTGCCCCTGTCAGCCCCACAGCTCCCTGGGTCCAGGTGCCAGCTCCGATCAGAGGTCGCTCTCCCTGAGACTCAACCCCAGCTTCCCTCCTGGGTCTCCTGCACCCGGAGCGGCCACTTACCCAGGGCCAGGAGCAGCGGCAGGGAGCCCGCGCCGCTGCCCGGGGCGGTCAGGTCCATCAAACCCGCGCTGCGGGGCGGGCAGCCCCTGGACGAGCCTCCCGCCTCCTCCTGAGCGCCTTTTCCAGGCCACACGGGCGTCCAAGGAGGTGCCTGGAAACTAATCCTGGGAGCCAGAAGGAAACGAAACTACTCCTCTGGCTGGAACCCTGGCTACAGGGCAAGCAAACACCCAGGGCGGCGGCCTCCGGATCCCTGAGTGTCGCTGGGAGGAGGGAGCCTCCTATTTATTTCTGCTCTTTCTGCACACACCCCACCAGCAGCGAGGCGCAGGAAGGCGAGGTGGTAGCCTCCAGGTCGTTCCCACCCAAATTGCCCCACACCCACACGTAAATTCATCTCGGGGCTGCCCTGGGGCCAGCTCAGCCGCTCCACCTGCTGGGTTGTTCCTGTCCCTCCGCCTGGGGGAGTAAACAGGTAGCCGGGGATCAGGGAGGGAATGCAGGGCAGGGGAGTCAGATGTGTCTGTCCTGCAAGGCCTGCAGGCAGCCCAGGGAGAAGCCTGCGCTCAACTCTCTGGGAGAAGCAGAGGTTCACATGTGCTCTGGAATTCTAACTTTCCCCCAGCCAATTGCTAGTCTCTTGGAGGGACTGGAGCCAAGCACTACTGTGGTTAACCTCAGGCATTTGACAACTTACAAGCCCTCTATTTACATGTATCCTTTGTTGGCTATCTGGGAGTTTGGACTCCTTTAGAAATGTCATTTATGTCTTTATTTATTCACTTATCCATTGTACTTTTACTTATTTAATTCGTGCGCTCTATCGGATCTGCAAAAATAAAAAGAATGTTTTTTTGTTTTTTGTTTTTGCCTGTTTCTATTTCATCACGCCTCCTCTTTTATGGAGAAGAGGAATCTGGTCCAAGCATTTTCTGGAACACAAAGGCATCCTCGTAGCTTTCAAAGACAGAAAGCAGCACCCAGAATTACCGTTTGAGATTAATAAATTTCCTTCCAAAATAACTAAAGGGTACAGCTGTGTTCAGTCTGATCTATATTCCTCTTGCAAGATCAGGGTGTGGAAGGAAGCATACCTCCTCAGTAGAGAACTTCTATTTCCTGGACATCCAAAGGCCCATATGTAAACTGCATTTACATATGAAATGCAGTTCAGAGGTCTGGCCCTTCTTCCCCACTGTTTAAATTATATAAATTATGATGCATCCCCCCCCCACCACCACCACCACCATTTTAGTGCCCCAAGCAACCCATGCTAAAAATGTTAATTTTCAGAATCCCATGCTAGCCTCCACGTAGCAGTCTATAAAGTCTTGATAGAGAGGTTATGGGATAGACTATTAATGAACCCAGATAAAAGGAGAGGAGCACACTAAGCCAAGGATTTGGCACCATCTCCTTCCTCTTGCTTTCTGATATTCTCTCCTACCCAGAGGATCAGGGCCCTATGCATTTTTCACACTGAGATGACACTTTAGCCAGCAATAGCCATGCTATCCTCCAACAGAGCATTATTTTATTTTTATTTTCCATTGACACTAGTGAACAATAAAGCACACCTAAATTAAAACACACACACACACACACACACACAAAAAAAAAAAAACACAAAAAAACCCAAATCTTTGTTCAGTATTGTAAAGTGCCAGAACTTGGTGTAAGTATTTATCATTTATGCTATTCAAATGGTAAATTAACTTTTCCAGGCCACTAGAGTATGAAATAGTGTAATTAGACCAAATAAATTAATAACCTTCCCTAAGGGCTTTATTTACTACCAGAAATAAAATAAGTATCCTGGAGAATATGCCTTCCAAATTTCCTGACACTGGAGGTTCTATATCTTCAAGGTCAAGAAACTTCCTCTCTCTCTTTCCCTCCCTCCTTCCTTTCCTTCTTTCCTATTCCTCTCTCCCCCACCCCCTTCTTTCTTTCCCCCTCTCTCTTTTTCATTTATTCATAAAGGAAGGTAAATCTGGGATCAAATCATAAACTTTGGAAGAGTAGAATTGACCTCTCTGGGGCCTTATCCACACAATGAGGTGTGTCTCAATGCTTTACACTGTAAGGTGGGCGGTTGCTAAGAGAAGAATGTGTCAAAGCTACACTGGAATCACAAGGTAGAACTTGTATCCCCAGCCTAGGGATTGCTTGAATGATGTCTGGCATGTTCCAACTTTAGGCAGGTAAAACCAGCCTTCTCAAATCTGGTATGAAGCTTAAGTGAATTCCTTTGGAGGGCCTGTAACCTCAGTCTTTTCTCTTCCTACACAGAGCAATCTTCAGCAGGAACACCCTGCCCCACCCCTCTGGACAGGACAGTATTTGGTTATTTGTGAGGACAGCACAGACACACATGTGGTGATAGAAAGGAAAATGTTGAATGTAGTCGTTCTAGGTCAGCCTGAGTTCTCCAAATTATTTCTGTAAGATATTTGGTAGTATAGGAAGATTTCCTCTTGGTAATTTACATTATTTTATTTGATAAGAATGGATGAATGAAAAGAAATATGAATGATGACTTACTCTTAAAACATGTTTTTACAGTAATGATAAATGTTATGCATTATAAATTATTAAAAAGCAGTAATACAATATATGTGGAGAGCTTTCAAATACTCTATTTGAAATTATGTCTTAGAATTATGTCTAAGGAAAAGCCAGTGAAAAAAATCATTGCTCAAAAGCTGTATTCAAGGGATTTTGTTTCTCAATGTAGTTTTTCTGGGGAAGGGGGTCATTATTTTTTTCTTACCTATTTTATTGTACCTTCCTTTTCAGACTTTTAGGGAATTTTTTTTTTTTTACATGTATGTCTCAATCCATTTGGCTTGCTATCTTATTTTTTTAAGCAACAGCTCAATACATGTTTAATAAATCTCAGATATAATCTTTTTTGTAATATTATATCTGTTAGTTTCAGCTCATTCTTATGATTTATTTCTTTGGCCATATTCATACATACTCCAAAAAATAATTTCTGAATTTTTTTTAAATGAGCTTTTGTTCTGGCCCTAGTTGTACACTAAGTAGAAAAACATTTAAGTGATAACTTTAATGCTATGATATGACAAGGCCCAAAACTTCCATATCTAATACACCTACCATAGTGGCTTTATCCTCTTTTACATGGTTCCAGATTCCCATCAAAAGACAATCTTCTGGGTGGGACAACAGAGGTGGAATATTATGTAAAATTGTTTTTGGAGTCTGTGTTACAGAAAATCTGGATCACAAACTAGTCACATTTCTGATCCTCAGTTTTCTATCCATAATATGTGATGGGAATGATTTGCATGGCTTCATGATTTGCAATTATTCAGTGTATTGTAGTTATTATCTATATGTATAAAAGCCTAAGTGACTGAATGACCAAACAACCAAACAACTGGTTGCTATGATGTACACTGACCATGAGGGGGCAGATGCCCATTATAAGAGCTGCCCCCTGGTGTCAGTACACTCCCACACAGGAGCGCAGCTCAGCTGACCAATGGGTGCCAGACACAAGCCTCATGGCTGGCCACTGCAGCCTGGAGACTGCAGCAGAGTGGCAGCAAGCCTAAGTGGAGGTGGCAGCAGGCACAATTGGGATGAGATGAACAAAAGCAGCAGGCAGCATTGGACTGCTGGTTTTAGCCTAATCCCTACAGGCTATGCTGAGTGACCCTACCACAGATAGGTGCACTGGGCCTCTACTGTTATTATTAAAAGAGAGGCTTGTTAGAGGCGGTTGCCATGGAGACTACTTCCATCCTAGAGTGGATTTTGGGCTTAGACCAGGGTAATGGAAATGGAGGAATGATTCTCCATGTATTTGAAATACAACCAATTGGATTTTCTGATGAATTGGATGTAGGTAAAAGAGAAAAAAGTCAAGATGACCTCAAGATTTTTGACCTGTATAACAAAAAGAATGTAGACACCATTTACTGACTTGAGTATATGAGTAAATGTGGGAAAAGACCTGATTTGAGGGGGAAGTGTTAAGTTGAAATGTCAATTAGACATGCAGGTGGCCACATTAGTTGGAGGGTTAGCATTGAGAAAAGAGGTCTGTGCTCTAAACATAAACTTGAAATTTGTTACCTTAAAGGTCTTTCAAGCCACGAAATGCTAAGGGAGAATAAACAGGAGAATATAGAGGCTCAATGCATTGCAAAATTGAGAGGTTGGAAAAGCTGAGAAAGAGACAGCAAAGGAGAATGAGCAAAAAAGGAATCACAGGCATAACAATTCTATAGACTGCACTCATTAAAAACAAAAAGAAATACAAGTATTCCTCCATTGTTCTTTTCATTTGCCTCCCAGCTATGAATAATTTTAAATATATGCAAATACACCCTCACTTCAACACTAGATTTGTCTTTTCTTCCTTGAGAGTTATAGAATGAAAAGGGGCAGCCCTAAGTGATGCCCTCTCCTGTCAGGTCAGAATGGTTGGCACAGTCCTCAGGTTATAAGACATACTAGAGAGTCTGACTAGCCCTCTGTACAAGCATAGTCTGGTAGCAAGGAAGGGGTGACAGCACATCTGTGAGATCTATTTTCTATTCTTCTTGTCTGGGAGCAACCAACCCTTTCACATTTCTATAGGAAATGGCATTGGATGTAAGACAAATGGGATTCCTCAGTTACAATAAATGTCAAATTTTGCACTTAAAGGGCACCATGAATTTACATTCCCCTTCTCAGGGAAATCATTACAAAGATAAGAAAAAAATAACATTAAAAATATATGATTTTCTTTCTCACCTTTTGGCTTTAAAAAGTTGTAATATTACAAAACCCTACTGGGACGATACCTGGAAGGCAAGGACAGAAGTTTGAAGCCTTGGGCTCTACTTCACATACTTCACAGAATAAGAAGAAACTTTTCTCTAAACTCTGCTGGGACAACTTAAACTCTTCTGTGCCCTTGGTGTTTTTTTTTTTTTTTTTTTTTTTTTTTTTTTTTTTTTTTGAGGTCAGGCATCTGAGTGGGAAGGTGAATTATTTGTTTTTCTTCTCTTCTTGTAAACATTTATGGGATATCTTCCT